CCATGAGTGGAGCTGGGCTCCGGGCCCTATTAGTGGGTCTTTGGTCTCTGGGCAAAGCTTTCACAGCTTCCCTGGAGACCGTGGTGTCTGCAAGATGTCCGTTTGCTTAACGGTGTCAGAGGCCTCTCATAAATTTCAGAGCAACAGGAACTGAGGCTTTGAAATTCCAGCTATGGATGGGCTTGGTATGAGGTCTATTCCAAAAATGGGAGCATTTGGTTTTCCAGTCAAGCCCTGAGGACTAATCAGACTCGGATCGGGGCCTGGAGGAGACAAACACAGGGTCCAGAGCCCAGGGGAGTGCAGCCAGTGTCTGGACTTCTGGGGGGGTCTCCTCCTTGGAGTTGCCTGTTGGCCTTCACTGCCTTCCTTTCCTACGTAAGTATCTAGGCTGTTCCTTCCTCCACTTGATATTTCCTTGAGTTTTTAGAAAGAAAAGAAAGACATTATAAGGGGAAAAGGCAAGAGAGTAGAGGAAGGTAGAGAAAGAGTAGGGGGAGAGAGAGAAGGAGGAAGGGAAAAAGAGACACTCATTCTCTGGGACAATGCTGGGAATTTGGGGGTTTCCTTGTAAAGCTCATTTTGATTGAAGTTGCTGAGCAAATCCTCCACCTGGCGTGACTGCCTACCCTGCCTGGATTGGAGAGGTGATACACGAGCAGCACCCGGAACATAGCAGACACGCAGAAAGTGGGAGCCCCTCCTCTCCTCCTTCTGACCTTCCCCAGACTCCCTTTCCTCCGGAACCTTGGGGAAGCTTCTGGGAACATCAGCAGGAATGGTCTTGTCCGTCTGGGCTGACCATACTGCAGCGCTGGAGTTTTCTCTGCTGATTCTGGTGGTGTCCGAGGCAAACATCTTTAAAAGCCCTAGAACGGGAACGATCACTGCCCTGCACTTGTGGCCTGCTTTGCACTTGGCGCGGGGCTTCTGGGCCCTGGGGTCCATGGGGCCTGCGCAGCAATTCTAGGGGCCAGCGTGCCCACCGCCTCCCCTCATGCTGTGGCTGGCTCGCACTGAGGTGGCACAGGGAGAGCATAGGGCCACGGTGTGGCTCCCCCCCGGGACCGCTGTCTGGATCCCCCCTTCCCCTCTACTTCTCAAGCGCAGATCATGTAAACCCAAAGCTGCCAAGTGTGCTGCTGGAAACAGGACCCGCCCTGCACATTACACACATGGAGCTTCTTGGGGTCTGGGGTCAGGATGTCACCCTGTGTCCATTCTTGAACAAAGTGCTTGCTTTTAAGATGTTTGTGATTATATCAAAGGGGAAAAATGCAAGTAACAGAAGGAAGCAGTAGTTTACATGAGTGCATGTGTGCAGTATGTACTTACATAATTCTCTTGCTTTTATTTTTTATACTCTAAGGTGCTTTTGTTTAATGTTACATTGGCATTTACAAAAGGTTTCTACAGCGATGTATCGCTTTTGTGATCAGGAAGAAGGTTTTAAAAATAAATGGTGTTTTCGTGATTATGATAGTCGACTGGCATCGAGCTCCCTTGGCACCTCAGTGCCAAGGGAGTCAGGCAGGTGGGATTATGGAGCCCGAGTTCTGCCTCAGACGCCCGTGCTCGTCCTGGTCTCTGACGTGCATGAGCTGCCGTCACCGTGACCGTGGCAGGGACCTTCCTCGTTGCCTGGGCTCTTTGGCTTCTTAGTGAGCTGCATGACACCCAGAGGGTTTACATTGGCGGATGCTTCTGCCTTGTCACCAGGAAATCGAGGAGGATATTGTCCACCGTAACACGTAAGTCCTTTTCAAAAGCAGCCACAGAAGGAGAGTTGCTCTGTGCCCATAGACCTGGGCCAAGCTGAACCTGCCCCGCATGTGCAGAATGAGCGCATTTCCATCTAATGACCCCTGTGCATCCTTGCTTGGGCTGCGCTAGGAGGCATAGAGCTCCATATGCCACTCAGCTTCAGCACATGGCGTGACTGTCTGATGCATGTCTTCGTATATGAACCTAACACCCAACCCCTTTGTCTTCCCCCTTATTCTTCTTTGCCCTGATGTCCCCTTCCCTTTTGCACTGCCTGTCTCTGTCTCCCTCTGTTCCTCTCTCCCCACCCCTTCTCTGCCTCTGTCTCTCTCTCTCACTCTCTCTCACATGTCTTTCCCATTTGCATTCCCTTTTGACGAGACCTATTTTTATAAAGACTCCTTGAGTCATTTATGAGATGAGGCAAAATATCCATAAATACAGGCTAACTGAGAAAATGGCCTTGAATCTACTCCTTACCGATCCGTTTTGGAGAGTAGCATCCCCAAAGGACAGATCCAGAGTTGTCCTTCTAGTGCGTATCCAGTGACCTGACACTTGACCACAAAGAATGTGAGCAGATTGCAGGCCTTAGTACCACTTGGGTTTTGAAGAGCTGGCAGATGACCAGCTCCAAAAAGCGTCCCTTTCAAGACCCCTGTTGTTTTGCTTTTCTAAGAGGTCTTTTGTCTCTGAACAGTGCGTCTCGTGTATAATACAAGCCCAGGTCTCCACATCAGTGCACATCAGAATGACCTGGAGGGCCCGGGTATGCTACATCAATTCTATCTCAATAAACCTGACTTTTGGGGGAAAAAAAATCACCTAGAAAGCTTGTCACAGAGATTCTTGGGCACCATCCCAAAGATCCTAATTCAGTAGGTCCAAGGGCAGGGCCTGTGAACTGGGCTCTCTGGTGAGCTCCAGGGGGCGTAAAGCTGCTGGTCCACAGACATTTGAGGAGCCCAACTCTGAACCCTGACAAGGGTCTCCCACTAGCTGCTTGGAGGTAGTCGTCTAAAGGGCCGTTTGTGGAGCTTATCAAAAGCCTTTTTCAGGGTCTAAATCAAATTAGATCCACTGGTCTCCAGCCCCTCATCTCTTTGTATTTGCTCTTTGACAAGTTTAATGAGCGCAGAGAAGCCAGTTAGTTGAACTGCAGCGGACCCTTCCAGCCTCAACATCCCGGTATCCACGGTCTGTAAGTGAGCAAGCCCATTCCTCAACCACCCGGGCCTGGGACTCGCAGGCTCGCTGTTACCAGCTGAGGCAGTTGGACCACATGTCCCGGAGGCCGCTGCTGGACAGGGACCTGCCACAGCAGGGGCAAGGCTGGCCAGCAGCCCCGGGTCGGCATCTCCACCTGGCTTTGGGCGCCTCTGCCTGTCCTCACGTGGGGAAGTCTATAAGGACACTTAGATTTTTTGAATTTATGGTGGGAGGGAGAGATTATATACTATAATGGTCTGACCACACGTGGAGATTCATTATCATCTTGGGATTATCAGTAATGGAAGAACTAGCAGCCGAGTGGTACGTACCAGAGCGTGTGCTGAGTCCAGTACTGAACAACTTTTGCCTCGGTCAGCCCTCAGAGCCAGCCAGGAGGCAGGTGGACTCTCCATCTTATGGAAGCAGAGGCAGGCCAGAGGAGCTCAAGTAGTGGCAGAGGCAGGATTCAGACTGACCCCTGTGTTTCTGCATCTTAAGCCCGGGCTCGTGGCCACTAAGCAGTCTCTCACCTTCTGTACCAGGAAATCCGTTGAATTTTCAGCCTCCAGTTTTTCCACTGGAATTATGAGATTTCCAAAGATGACACTTCTAGAAGCAATTCATGAATAGAGAGATGGCAATGTGAGTTTAATATTTAGTGGTAGTCTAAAACCCCACAATAAGAAATGGTCTGCCTTTTCTCAAAGAGCAAGAGCTCTAAGAACATACTTTTTTCAAAAAAAAAAAAAGAAAGACCCACTCCCCAAAACACAAGCATAAAAGGACCTCTTGAAAACGCATGGAAACTGCATCTATTGTGCCATCTTGAAATAGCTATCTACTGGGTCTCCAGTGTTATTTGGACAAAACAAGGCTACTGGAGTCCATTAAAATAAATCCAAAGTGATGCCCTGTGGGCTGGTCAGCGGGTCTGTTCATGTGTTGTTCCATAGGGTACTCCTGGTGGCTGTTTTTATTCCCATCTGAAAGCCAAGGAAGGAAAACCCAGAAAGGTTTGGTAACACCCCAGGCTCTTGTGAGTGACGGGAGCCAGGGCTGTGAGTGGGACCTCTTCCCCAGACTCTGCCGCCCTTCCCGCCAGCTCCCAGCTTTGCCGGTACTGTGTGTGCTGCTCCCAGATGGACTTCCGGGCTTTCAGTCATCTTCATGGCGGGATCACACCTAATCCCCCTGCCCCGGAGAGCCTCTTGCTACCATTTTTATGTATAGCTTTCCCAGACTTCTTTGTATCTAAATTTCTGTTTATTTCAGTAGAATTATACGTTACAGGCCAAATGGGAAATGTACCAGTTTCACTTACAATAATGTATCATGAGCATCTTTCTGTGTCATTAACTGTTCTTCTTCAGCATCAATTTAATGGTCATTTAGTACTCCTCTGTAACTACCTTCTGGTTTCTTGCCTTTAAAACAGAGTTTTGTAGGGGCACCTGGGTGGCTCGGTCGTTAAGCATCTGCCTTCGGCTCAGGTCATGATCTCAGGGTCCTGGGATCGAGCCCTGCATCGGGCTCCCTGCTCTGCGGGAAGCCTGCTTCTCCCTCTCCCATTCCCTCTGCTTGTGTTCCCTCTCTGGCTATCTCTCTCTGTCAAAAAATAAATAAAATCTTTTTTAAAAAACCAGTGTTGTGAAGGCTCTCTTAAAAGAATGATCACTGTCGCTTTGCAAAAGTAAAATCAGGTCACGTGGGGAACAGGCTTTAAATGCTCTGGTAGCTAAAATTGCCCTGGTATCTCTGAATTACACTGAATCTTTTGGAGAGATTGTTTTGTTTTTGACCTTGGTAAGTACATAGTACAGCCCTGCTGGGAAGCATGTGATGTAGGCGTCTCTGGTCCTGGACCTGGACCGGCCATTAGAAAAGTGAGGGAGCACTGAGGACGACAGGCAGGGAGGGACTAGAAATCCCAGCCAAGAGGGCGCCCCTGCTCCTTGATTGGTGAGGGCCTGCGGGTGTGTCTTGCTAAGCCATGGGTCTGAGCCAAATGTCTTCTCTCTCTCCAGCAGACCCGCCCGTGGCCGCAGCTGTGGTGTCCCATTTTAATGACTGCCCAGATTCCCACAGTCAGTTCTGCTTCCATGGAACCTGCAGGTTTTTGGTGCAGGAAGACAAGCCAGCATGTGTGTAAGTGTTCCCTCGTGTCCTGAGATTCTGGGGCTGGGGGCGTCCCAGCAACCAATTACAAGAACGTTTACCTCCACGAGACATGCCTGAGACCCCGGAAGCTGGACATGAAGGATCAGAGCAGCAGGCTGAGGGACTGCTGCTTCATACCCAGCTGGTGAAAAGTCCAGATTCCAGGGCCCCAGCTCAAAGTCACTGAGGCAGAGCCCCTGAGGGTTGGAGCCTGGGGGTCTGCATTTTTCACAAGCACCTTGGGTCACTCCTGGGTTATTGCAAAATCTGAAGAGTCCTGGATTCAAGTTTAATTCACTCTTTAGAATTTCTGGAGGGCAAGGTGTTGGGTTGGATCCCTCTGAGTAGCCAGTGTCTCCAAAAAGAGGTCTCTGCCCTCCACCATCTTTATAGCACAGCTAATAAAATAAGCTGGAAGTGCATGCAAACGGTTAGTGTACATACGCCGTATCAGAACGAAGAACAGCTTGGAAATCAAGATGTGTGCCAGTGCACAGAGGTTTCCACGCCACGCCGAGCATGAGCCCCCCGGGCTGCTGCTTAAAGTATAGCCAAGCCCCACCCCAACCCACTGAATCATCTCCAGGAATGGGACCCAGGAGTCACATTAGTTAAGAGCCACTGGGGATTGCCGTGGTCAGCCAGCCTGGGGAAGAAAGGCACTTGAGGAAAGCTCCCCAGAGCAGGTGTCAGGGTTTGCCTAGTGGAGAGAAGAGACAGGTTATTCTAGGCCTGGAGTGTCGGGGGACCTGCTATTACAGGCTACCTGTTGTGGCTACAGCAGGAGGAGACAAGATTGGAGACAAATGGGAGGCCAGAGCCTATTGGAAGTGAGCCTTTATTCTCTAGGCAGTGGGAATCACGTTGGTTTGGGGAAGGGATGTTTTAAGAAAATGAATCTGTCCATAGTAGAATACTCTTAGGTGGCCCCATACTGAACCTCGGCACTATTGACATCTGGGGCTGGGTAATCCTTTGCTGTGCCCTGAGGGATGTTAGCGGCAGCCCTGGCCTCCACCCACTAGGTGCCAGGAGCCCCACCACCTTACTGTGGTGACCATCAAAATGTCTCCAGATTGCCAAATGTCCCCTGAGGGGTGGGAGGAAAGAAAATCCGCCCTCCGCCCCCATTAAAAACCACCCATCTATGTGAAGTTGCCATTTCTATAGGTCATGACTGGCAGAAAGGTAGCAATTCCATATGGTCCAACTTAATAGTACCAGTAAGTGATACTAAAATGTTAACAAAAGCTAGCATTTATTGAACTTTTTTTGCTTCACGCCAGACACCATTCCAGGCCTGATCTGTGTGCTAACTCATGTAATCCTCCTCATGACCCCACAAGTTAGGCACAGAGAGCTCGTGCCCAGGTCGCAGAGCAGAGCTTGCAGTCAAACGTCGACGGTCTAGCTCCTGAAGCTGAGTGCTTAACCATGATGCTAAGGGTGTCCGATGCATTAGCCCAAGAGCTATTGTGACTCGGGAGAGCTTGCGCAGAAAAAGCGGTGGGCGGGGCTTTCCTCTTTCGGAGGTGCAGCTGTGTGAGTGGGGGGCAGGCCCCTTGGGTGGCTTCAAGCCTCACCTGATGAAGCGAGCTGGCTACCTTCCTCCTGATAGGACTGTGTGAGGCCCCAGGTCGTGTCTGCAGAGCTTGAGCCCTCCCTACCCGGTAAATACAAGCCACAGTGATGATGATCATCAGTCATTCTTCATGATTGTCATTTTTATTAAAATATACATGGGACCCCTGGGGGACTGATGGGATTGTTTTGTTAGTAGCCCAGTCATTGTGGAAAACACTAGCCCAGAAAGGAAGTTTTGCCTCTGGCCCAGATATCAGAAAGCCTCCCAGTGAGGCAGGCAGAAGGCATTCACCCCTCCAGCAGTGCCCGGTGCACCCAGCTATGGGTTGGGAGGATCGTCTTTGGAGAAAGAAGGCAAGTCTTTGCCAAGTTCTGACCAAATTTCAGCTTAGTTTTTCTTCCTCTGATGCCTTCCCCACCAGATCAGGGGCTGGTATAAACTTTGTGAGAGCCAACAACCTCAAGCCTGGATCATCAGATGAGCCAAAGCAATAACCTCATCTGTGGCTAAGACCCACCCCACCCCCAATCAGCTGGAGGAAGCCTTCTGAAAGCAGGGGGCAGGTGGTTTCTTGTTCTCTTCACTCTGGATCCCAAGCCCTGCTCTTGGCTCAGGGAGCTAATTGTCCATCACACTTACACACCAGTGCATTTTGATAATCAGGATGATTGACTGTCTCTCCCCCCATTCACATTATAAATATTGCTATTAATAATAAGCTTTCAATAAAAGCTCTAGCTATGTGCCAGGCCTGGTTCCCAGCACTCTCTATATATAGTGACTCATGGAGTCCTCACAACTCCCTTCTCAAGTGGGAATTCTTGTTCTTGTTGTATAAATGAGAAAACTGAGCCAGCTCACAGAAGCGATTTGCCCAGAGTCCCAGAGCTAGTAAATGGCAGAGCTTAGTATTCAGTCTGATCGATTCAAACCCCCAAACCCATGTTCTCAGCTACTGACCCAGAGGGCACTCTGTCTCAGCTCTAAAAAGTTCACCTCTGTTAAAAAAGAGACAGTAGGTCCAAAATGGAGTCACTTGTGCTAAGCCCATATCACCAAACCAAAACGTAATACCTAACCCAATTGCAGTTTCAACCTGCCCCAGAAATGTGCTTAGCCAATCAGTCTGGAATTTCCCTGGTCAGCTCTAATGAAGTAGTCCGCCTGATAGACCACTTCTGTCCCCCAAAGAAAGATGAGATTGTCTACTCTTTCCCTGTCCCTGCCCCCTTCTGCTTATACAAGTCTCCCATCTTGTACAACTCCTTGGAACTCCTTTCTACTTGTTAGATGGGATGCAGCCTGATTCATAAATCACTGAATAAAGCCAATTTGATCTTGAATTTATTCAGTTGAATTTTACTTTTTAACATCTCAAGTCACTAAGTTCTTCTGTTTCCAAGAAAGGTGTTGGCATCTTCCCCATGTAAAGAGAAACCTGTAAAGAGAAACATCAAGGTCATTCCCAAGCTCTTTGCCCTGACCACAGACTCTTAAAGTCCTTTCCGTGGGCTGAGTGCAGGATCTTCCAGAAACAGCTGGGCCATCCTTGCGGTTTGGAAAAGCTGACCATTTGTGGGGATGCACAGCCATGCAAGCAATTATCATCTCTTTACCTCAGTTTCCCCACTGGCTCTTGGCAGCCCAGGGGAGTTGTATTCAGCCCACAGATGTGTTTTATGTGGCAGTACATGATGATCTGCATCGTTCTTTGGTAGTTTTAATTAGTTGTCAGCATTTTAGAAGTCATGTTTTATTCTCCATGTGGATGCCCAGCCCTATCGAATAAACAGACAAATGGCGGCATCAGATCAGGCCTGAACTCCCAAACGTGCCATTTGGCTAGAATTTAGGTGCACCTGCCCCACCATCCCCAGACCAGCTTGTCCTCTCCGGTTCCCCTTTCTGCCTCGCCCCACTGCTCCCCAACACTGAAGCGGATGTCAGCCCCTGACCATCCTGTTGCCTCTTCTGCTCGCCTCACACCAGCCCACTTTGCTCACATCTGCCGTGTGAGCTCGTAAGCTTGGTGAGGACACACCTTATACCCTTTGTAATTACAGTACCTAGAAGAATGTGATAATTAATTAATTCCCACTAGACCAGAAACTCTGAGTCCGTGCAGAGAAAGCAGAACATTCTGTTCTCACTCGTATGAACCACCCCAGCTTTGGGTTGCTGACACACATACTCTGGTCAATAAAACCAACATACCTTGAGGTAAGGCCATATATGTCATGGCCTTATAAAGAAAACCCACAGTGACCCAAGATGATAGTCTAAAAAGAGGGAGCTCTTTCTAAAATACTGTCACTCTTAAGCTTTGTTTTTTATAAAAACAACAGTCTCTAGGTTTCTGGAGAATCTAAAATGACATCTCACACTAAAATATGAGATTAAAAAAGTTAAATAACTAGTCAGAAATAGCCAAAGATAGTGAACAAAACCTTAAACATTTATGTTTCAGTTGCACCCTAGATGGTATTTTGTGTCTTCCTTTAATAAATCCCTGCTAGAACCCAACTACATCAGGAAACAAATGGGAAAAGGATTTCCAAAGACAGTAAAGCCATAGAAGTGCAAGGTTAGGACTTGCACACCATTTTCCCCTGAGGCAGATTCAGCACACTGTTGGTCTGCTGCCTGCAGAAGCCTTCAAACAAAGGAAAACAGTTGAAGGAAGACACCCAGGTGACATTTTAAGAGTTCCAGTGTCCTCAGCCAGTGGCAACCAGTTTGAAGTTTCTCACCTGTCCGAAATGCTCTTCGGTGACTGAACTCCCTGACTTAACTTTCCCACAGCAAAGTGTGAAAACAAATTGCTGAGCCAAGGAAAACATTTCACATGGCCCTGGCCACGGTACATTCTAGTGGGACCTGAGCAGAGTCAGACATGTAAAGAGAGGAGCCTGTCATCAGTCCACCAGCAGGCTGCTATGTGACTAGGGATGTACCCCCAAGAGATCAAGATAGGGAGCAGTTTGGGGCTCGAGCCACTTTCTGTAGATCTGGCACCCCAACAGGCAGATGGTGGGGCATAGGGGTTAAGTTATGACATCGGGGCACCAGGCTGACTTGGTAGAGCATGCAACTCCTGATCTCAGGGTCATGAGTTCAAGCCCCACGTTGGGCATAGAGCTTATTTTATTTTTTTCTTAAGATTTTTTAAATTTAGGGGCGCCTGGGTGGCTCAGTCGTTAAGCATCTGCCTTCGGCTCAGGTCGTGATCCCAGAGTCCTGGGATCGAGCCCCACATCGGGCTCCCTGCTGGGCGGGAAGCCTGCTTCTCCCTCTCCCACTCCCCCTGCTTGTGTTCCCTCTCTTGCTGTGTCTCTCTCTGTCAAATAAATAAATAAAATCTTAAAAAAAAAAAAAAAAAAGATTCTTTAAATTTATTTGTCAG